AAATAATAAGATATTGATACGCTAGAAGTAATTGGTAAAAGAGTGATGAAAAGAAATATTTGCTTCATTTATTTAAAGTATATGCCGTTTTGTGCGCGTGGGCTTCACAATTAATGAAGAGACAAAATTTTTTTTTTAAAAAAATTAATAATCCAAGACACTTTCTCAAACTTGAATAACACATTAAGACACTTAATAACACACACATTTTTGCCTAATGAAAAGACTAGTATACCCTTTTTCTTACATTTCCTGATTGCCTTTGTTTATCATTCTACATCACGTAACAAATCAGAAACATCTCTGAACGAATCGCAATCTACAACACCCGTCTTCACTGGCATTGAATCTTCCTTAATGTATTCAAAGATTCAGTATTCTACATCCATATATGTCAGTAAATTTTCAGGCCTCCTCCAACATCCTTGCTTTCATTAATTTGGTAGTGAATCTCACCCATTTTTATCGATTTGTTGTTCATATACTACTCAGATCCAATTACATTAAGCCATCCACCGTTGCTCATCCAATTGTTTAAATATTTGTGTCTGCCATCGTTCACTTCGTTTTACACTCATATCCCATCCATCATCTCGCATCTAATGCATCCATGGGCATATTCATATAAGTCATCTATATAGAGCTGCCACATAGAGCATCCATATAAAGTATTCAAATAGAGTATTCATATGGTGCATCCATATTAAACATCCACATTGAACATCCACATTGCGATTTCACTAATTTTCTCTCATTTTTGAATATACTCACTTTCAAATTCACTTAGGTGTCCATCTAATCTCATCCATTTTGCAGCCTTTCAATGGTTAATTGTAAGATTCGATGTTATTCATATACTTTCCCAGTTTTGCATTTATCTATGCATCCACTATGTCTCATCCACTATAGTTAGACTTTATACCCATCGTTCTCCAATCAATAATATTTATCTAACCATTATTGCTCATCCACCATGATTCATCCTCTGGGCTATCACTTAATTTAATTTCTAACATTGGCCACCCAGTGCATCCATCCAAGTTATCCATCCATTGATGTCATCCAAGTTATCCATATAGCACATCTATATAGAACATTCATATAGAACATCCATATAGAAAATCTATATTGGACCTCCATATAGTGCATCCATGTAATGCATCTATATAGGGCACTTATTAAATTCATCACTAACATACGATCAAACTAATTTATATGTTTTAACTCTCTCTGGTGCAGGCCTTGACCACAATCTCGAGATAAATTATTGCTTCCACCATGCACCATCCACTTCAGTTGGTCGCATCCACCATTGTTCATCTACCATTGCACATCCACCATAACTTATCCACCATGTTCGCATTCATTATTGCTCATCGACCATGTTCACATTCACTTATTGATTTCTAGAGTTCATTATTTTTCATATCACTCTCACTGCAGAGAATTGTGTGTAAGAATAATTTTAGTCAAGAACAAGCATAATATATGTACAAATATCTATGCTTCAGCTTTTCAGCTGGTGCTTACAAATAAACAATATTTTGAGGATTTTTTATATATTATTTGGCCATGTATCTTTCTTATCCACATGAAACTGTACACAAGATTCAATATTAGAACATTATCATCCACAATTACAGCATCCACACTTAGTTTATTCAAACTCGTCCACGAGCTTGTGTTATGTATCTCGTCCATGATACACAATCCATGTGTCGTATCATATACCTCATCCACAGTTCACAAACCAAAACCATCCATAATTTTCAATCCATGTGTTTAAAGTATTGTGTACACATCATCGTAATATTATCCAATACACCCCTTCACAAATCCATCTATTTGATGTCTTCTTTAAGTCATATACAATACATAATCCACCTATTATCATCCACATAGACATTATGTTCGGCGTCCATAGTAGCCAAAACCATGCATAAACTAAATCTGCTGTGTTCGCCAACACCATCAGTACTAACTCCGATGACTAACCACCAAATGTTTCCATTCTCAATGTCGGCCGGCTAATCACTTCAACAGAGTCAATCCATCACCAATTCGCATCCCAGCCGACGATTTTATTTCCCCCAACCAGGCGATTTCCTAATGAACAAATTCATCCATAGAATTAAACCGTTGACCATCAACCAAAAAATGCTCAGACACAATCTTATACATCACGATCTCTTACTCCCATTGTCAAACGCCAACGACGCGTCAATCGGATATACTAGAGCCTGTCAATTTTGTGGCTTAGGTATCGACGAAATCTCAACAATAAAAAAAAAGTCAAACTTAATTCATTCATTAAAGGCAAAACGGGTAGATCAAATTTGAATAGTGAACCAAAATGCCTAACAATTCTCAAGTGCCTAATTTTGCAATCACTTTTTTGGAAATGCCTCTCTATGTAAATGTTTCATATTATAATTTAGATATGATTTAAATATAAACTAATAAAATCAACTAAACAAAAAACTGATTAATTTAAATTATAATATAATAATATATAATATATATTATATACACTTAATATATGTAATTATGTTATTTCGAAAACTTAATATCTAACCACATTTTAATATAAAATAATATAATCAATTAAGTTGTTAATAATTTAAATAAAAACTAATTAAATCAGACAGCCTTCAACTTAAAAATTGTTTCCCTTATTATGGCAAATATGAGGACTCAAACTTTGGTTTTACTCAAAAATTTAGTTTGGTTATAAATTTAATTCTTTATATGTTGATGTTAATCTTATAAAGTGAAGTTGATACTCGAAAGTTTTAAATAAAAGAATGGCACTCGGAATTGACATGATGCTTCTTGCACTATCTTTTTAAACTATTTGTTTTTCCAAGCAATATCCACAAAAGACTGAGTATGTTTACCAGTTGATAGTGAGCTCAAATAAGCATAAAACAACACGTTTGAATAATCTTCCCACATCTTAAACATATTGGTGAAAGACGTTCATCCTTTGTGCAATTAAAAACTGTAAAGTTTCCAAAAAACTCATGGTGACATCTATTTAGGTGTAGAACATGCTTTTTTGGGTTTAGCATAAAAAATCTGTAAAGGAGATGTGCCAAAAAAGACTTGTTGGTGTAAGCTTCATTTCCTTAGATTTTGTTTGTTACTCGTCTTGCTGAGAAAGACATAGCATTGTCTATCACAGATTCTGCTATGGCCTATGTGTTAGAACATAGTTATAATTGGTAAATGTCTTATTCTTCTCACTTAAAAAGTATGCTTGAGTTATCATATTTTTGAATAGTGTTAGTTACTTATATTATATGATTATGTGTAGGTATATGTTGTTCGCCCTATTAAGATATGGCTTGTGACAAATATTGTGACATAGCTCTCAAAATTGATGGCTTTAGATAACATCAAAGAGAACTTCACTGTGTAGATAGATGCAAACCGACTTGGTCTTGTATATATAGTAGATCCACACGCAAAGAAGAGAAAGATTGAAGAATGAAAATGAAGGATTGAAAGTCTCTAGATTTTTCACTGTTACTCAGCTGTTTTCTGACTTTAATTTTGTTTGTGTTTTATATTGTCTTTGTTCCTTTCGTAGAATTGTAATCTCTCAAACTTGTCTTCAAAACTGGTTTCAATACATATATCTAAGAGGATATAGCTAAAAACACTTTAGCAAAATGCAATATTAAAAAAGACACTTTACAATTTTAAGGCATTTTCATTAAATAAAAAAACAATCTTATCTTTTTTTCTCTCTTCTTTTTTCCTTTTCTCTTTTTTTTTTCTTTTTTTTTCTTTAATTACTTTTTACCAATGAAACCAAACACAGTTTTAAGAAAAAAAAAATCATTTTTGTTATTTCTCTTTCCTACAACTTCAATATCTCTCTCTCTTTTCCCAACCTAAATTAATGTCGAACAAAAAGAAAAAAATTTTCAGCGAGATATTGACAGAGATTGAAAATTTTTATCACCGCTCTCAATTATTTGAATTGAAACTCGGTGAATGGATACATATCCACAATTATAGCATGTATGACAAAACTTGAAAGAAGAATGTCTACAACAGGTTTCTAAACTGAACACAAATATGTTATATGTACATGTGGACGAGGATAAATGGATACATATCTATAGTTGTAGTGTGGATAGCAAAACTGAAGAACATCCACCATATATCTGAACTGGACATAAATATAATATATGTACATGTGGATTAAAGGAAATGGATACATGTCCACAATTATAGAGTGGATAACAAACTTTAAAGAAAGATATCCACGATAAATGTCTAAACTGAAAACAAATATGTTATATATACGTTTGAAACTCAAATCCTCTAATCACTTGAATGAATTTTGAATGAACTTCTGTGAATAATTACAAAAAATAAAAATAAAAAAGCAATATCGGAATAATATATTTTTAACAGTGTTCAAAGTGTTTTATATCTTATAAGTGTTTATTTTTGAAATCTTTAGGTAAAGTGTCTAAATATGTAAATTTCTCTAAATCTAATGAATCACCAAAAATATGGAAGACACAAGAAAGAAAGAGAAAAAATATGGAGAATGTTTCATGACTTTTGACTTGTATTATTATATATACGGCTTTAGAATACAGAGAATCAAGGAAAGATCATACGGATCAGTAGTCTTGTAGCTGTTGAACACTTTAAGCTCTGTGTTCGATAGGTCATTTCGATGTCCCAAGTTAGGTCTTCACTTTCCAATACCGTTGGGGGATTTTGTTGTGGCGATTATGAACCAAAATGTAAAAGTCTTTTGCGTAGTTGGCCATTTGGAGATTTAGAAGAGGAAAAAAGGAGTAAAGCAATAGGACTCGCTTGACTTTGAGAGTTTCAAAAATTTGAACATTCATTTACTTAACCATACATGTAAAACCCTTGCAAATTTACCAGCTTCAACTGTCACACAAAAAAAAACTAATCTATATGATTTTACTATATAAAGATTGTACTCGGTTTTGCCCTGGGACTTTGCTCTAAAGCTCGTCTTTTTGCGATTCTTGTACGCATTGCTCATCCCAATAGTAAGGGAACTTCAATTTCGCAGCAGTGTGTGGCATAAACCAGTCATCGTAAGTGAAACTGTTAAAAGAAAGAAGCAATTTCCATAGGATTAGTAAAAAAGACATATAATATCTACAAGCAAACTCTTTAGGAAACAGATGTTACATACATTTTTATAGGCGGCCGAGATATAATAACCAACACCTGCAGGTCTTCATTCCCAGTGTTCTTGACCTGTACGAGCCGTAATAGATGACATGTGAGCTAATTTCATTTGATAACCCAAAAGCGTTTTTAGAAGAAGAAAAAAGCTATATGGTTATAGAATGATACTCGGTGTTCATATAATCGTCTGTAAGTGTTACATATATGACATGCAGCAAATCTTAAGCAAAAGATAAGGGTTGCTCTTAGTTGTTCAATGATCTGTGCATGCGGAATTGGTTTGGTTAAGAGCCTTATGTGTTGTTTTTATGCACTTAATCAAGATTACAATCTATGGAAACTCTTAACAAACTTGGGATTTCAAAGTCTAAGACTCTTAAGGCAGGAGAGCCAAAACATCTGAAACGATATGGGAGGCCAAAGACATTACCTGATGAGCATCATTGATTGGAATATGAAGTGTGGAGTTAGCAAATATGGGAAACTCAATTGGTTTCCCAGGGACACTTGCATGCATTTCAGCGAGATACAGAGTACCACTGCCCTTTAGGACGACAAAAACCTCTTCACAAGAGTGCCTGTGAATCGGTGTCTCCGAACCTGGAGCAAACGTTTGAAGCCATATTTCAACCTGCAAAAACCCAAACGAGTCGGTGTTACTGTTATCTAGTGTTTGAAGTCTGAGCAAAATCGATTTAAAGTTTGGTTAGAGCTTCATGAACCAGAGATAAGAGACGAGCGGATGCATATGAGCAGAGTTTCAAGACCTAGTTAGTTACCTCTTTCATCCCGTGTAATACTGAACCAGCAACAGTCATGTGGGAAAGACCTGGTCTTCCATAGTTATCCTGAGGAAGGTCACTAATATTCCTCACGATGGGCAAGCCTGGATTCACCATTCAAGAGTTAACATCATAATTTATCTAAAGCTACAGATCGATGAAGTTTCAGCAGAATCTGTACCATATCAGCAACTAAAATTCACTATAAATCATTCGGAAACACTTCCAAAATCAAAAGATTGATACAAAATTTGGTATCGAGATATGAAGGTTCTTAGATCCTTAATCAATCGTAAGTTCAGCACATTTTGGACTATTTGATTCTTATAGGACATCCAGAAAAACGATTTCAAAGATAAACAAGAGGAAATTTGCATTCAGAGCACAAACTCCTAGGTCGTAAATCGAAGCAACCTTATGACGAGTGAAACTCGAGACTCACCATTGATCGGGCAAGGAGCTCCTAGAGTATCTCCAGAGAAGTAGAGCAGAAGAAGCGCGACGGAGACTACGGCGGCGATCGGGGATGACGAAAGTACGATCATCATCTCGATGCTTCTATTAACAGTTATATCTTTAGAAGTCTTCCCAACTATTAGAAGGCTAAGATACTTCGAAATAGGCCCCTGTATCTTTATCTATTTACTAAAAACCCATCCAGTATTATTAAAATACTCTGAAATCAAATTACTATGGTTCATATTCGATAATCCACTGTCGAATTTATTTTAAAAGTTTAAAACAATTTTCAAAATGACCCTAAGTAATGGTGGATATGGGTTAATTGGAATATTTAAGATAATATGGGGCGATAATTAAACTATAAGAAAGTATGGGGGCAGAGCGTCAATAAATCGGATGAAACATTTCGAGAGAGAGAGAGTGACTTGTTGTGATGAGGATTATTTTTCCTCTATGAAAAAAACCTTACCCGCTCCTCTAAAACCCTCGTCTTCTCCGATATCTTCCTTCATCTCCGGTGAGATTTCACTGTCAAATTCATAGTTTTGCTTTGACACGCTGACCCACTTTTTCTTCTTCCTTTCAATTTCATAGTTTTTGCGGTTTGCTTTCTGTTATCCGGATCGTTGCGGTTACTACCACTGATAATAAATGATGACCCTTTGGGGGGATTTGTTTGAATTTAGTATTTTCTACGAAGTATTTTGAGTACATGTTTCTGGGTTACTCCGAATTGGTATGATTTTCAGGTTGATAATCGTCAATTTTGTTCTTCCGTTTTCGCAGGTGCAAACCGCGGAAAAGAATGAAGATTAGGTTCTGTAGCGGCTTCACTAAACCTGGGTTTTTGCTGGTTCACTTTGTTCCACCATCGTTTTTCTCCGTTAGGTCTCGGCCACTCTCCGATTCCGCTTATGGCAACTTGTGCAACCACAGTAAGGGACCTGGGATTGGTCTAAAAGTTCAGTGCGCCATTGCAAATCGGAGATTTTCTTCACGTTCTGTGGATTCACCTAAAAGGGAAAGGTCTCGTTCTTCTTCTGGAAGAGATAAGGATAAGGGGAGAGATTCTCAGTCCTTGTATAGTCGTCCGAGTCTGCTAGAGATGAACAAGGAGAAAGCTGCAAATCGTGCCAAGGTTTATGAGTTCTTGCGTGGGATTGGGATTGTTCCTGATGAGCTTGATGGGCTTGAGCTCCCTGTAACAGCCGATGTGATGAAGGAGCGTGTGGAGTTTCTTCACAAGCTGGGTCTTACCGTCGAAGATATCAACAATTACCCTCTCGTTCTTGGCTGTAGCGTGAAGAAGAACATGGTTCCTGTGCTAGATTACCTCGGGAAACTAGGCGTGAGGAAATCGACATTCACTGAGTTTCTGAGAAGGTACCCGCAGGTTCTTCACTCTAGTGTTGTTATAGATCTTGCGCCTGTGGTCAAGTATCTCCAAGGACTTGATATCAAGCCGAGCGATGTACCTCGGGTGCTCGAGAGGTATCCAGAAGTTCTAGGGTTTAAGCTGGAAGGGACTATGAGCACATCGGTCGCTTATTTGGTTGGTATAGGTGTAGCTAGGAGGGAGATTGGAGTTATTTTGACTCGGTACCCTGAGATTTTGGGAATGCGTGTAGCTCGAATAATCAAGCCTCTCGTGGAGTATCTCGAAGGACTTGGTATACCGAAACTGGCTGTAGCTAGGTTGATTGAGAAGCGGCCTCACATTCTCGGGTTCGAGTTGGATGATACGGTGAAACGAAACGTGCAAACGCTGCAAGACTTCAATGTCAGAGAAACATCTCTTCCTTCTATCATTGCACAGTACCCTGAGATCATAGGAATCGACCTCAAACCTAAGCTTGAAGCACAAAGGAAGCTACTTTGTTCAGCCATTGATCTGAATCCAGAGGATCTCGGCTCTTTGGTCGAGAGGATGCCGCAGTTTGTTAGCCTCAGTGAGTCGCCTGTGCTAAAGCACATTGCTTTCCTTAAGGAGTGCGGATTCTCGATCGATCAAACGAGGGAAATGGTGATCGGGTGTCCTCAGGTTCTGGCTTTGAACCTGGGGATCATGAAACTTAGCTTCGAGTACTTCCAAAAGGAGATGAGAAGACCTCTTCAAGATCTGGTGGATTTTCCCGCGTTCTTTACCTATGGGCTTGAGTCTACGGTAAAGCCGAGGCAGAAGAAGATATCGAGGAAGGGAATCAAATGTTCGTTGGCTTGGATGCTGAACTGTTCAGACGAGAAGTTCGAACAGAGAATGAGCTACGACACGATAGATATAGAGGAGGTAGAATCTGATCCATCTTCTTTCGACATGAGTACGTTGATGCAACCTGAAAGAGAGGAATCTGATTCCGAGTACGAGGAAGAAGAAGATGACGACGACGAGGAGTTTGCTTAAACCGGAGTCGTTGTATCAAAAAAGCTCCTAAGGGTAATAATGCAGAGAATATGAAATGAAGTAAAAGTTTGTGTCTTGATGGATCAGAAAAAAAGAATGATTGCTTTGAATTCGAACAGATTCTTTGTTGATCAGATTATTATCTCGTATCCTTGTAATCGATTCTCTTTGTCCATGTTGATTGATAACAGAACAAATGTACCGGAAGATGTAAAGTTTCTACTCATAATGACCAAAATACCCTCAGGGGCAAATCCGTAATATTGAGTTTTCAGCACCAACCCTCCTCTTGTCGTCACAAAGAAAGAAACTCACGATCAATTTTGTTTCGGCTCCTCCTCCTTCTAGCCACGCACTTCCTTTCTTCTCACAGTGCCTCTCTCTCTCTCTCTCTCTTTCTCTCTGCAACACTAATATAAACAATATTTTATCGATCCCTCTCTCTCCTCAATTCTGTTCCGATCGTCTTTTTCCCGCGGTTTCGCTCCCACCGTCACCTGTTTCCGGTCAGTTTACGCTTCCGTGTTTTTGGTTGAACGATCAGGAGATTGATTATATCCCGATTCCGATGTAGCGTTTAAAATTGCATTTCGATTAAGCTGCTAATTGCGTTTTAAGATTCGTGGAGAATTTTTCTTTACGTGTTTCGGTGTGTGAATTGCGTTTGGTTTCTTCTGGGATTTAATTAGTTTTTTGGGGACTTTTGGCCGATTGAATTGGTGTTTTCTAGAAAGTTGGAATCTTTGTTGCTTATTGAATCTGTCAAAGACGGATACGATTTGTGAACACAATTGTCTTTTTTTTGTTTAATCTCAGATAAGCATCGCCTAATGGTGAAGAAGCAAGGAGAAATGAATGTGTGTGGTGCTGTCAATGGTGGCAGAGTGGGAACTTCTTCAGTTTCACCACCACAAGAGAAAGGAAGGAAGAACAAGAGAAAGTTAGCTGATCCTTCTCAACACAATGCTGCTGCTTCCTTGACTGAATTCCCTCGGTATGAGTTGCATTCACTGAAATCTCAAAACCCTTTGTGTGAGAAAGCGGAAGAGTCTGGATCCGTTGGATGGGACGATCCGTTTGCTTGTCATCTCGAAGAACTCTTATCATCGAATCTGCTCGCACTCTTCCGTAGTGCAATGAAACAGATCGTGGACTGTGGGTACAGTGAGGATGTTGTTTTGAAAGCTATCTCAGGCAGTAGGCTCTACTGCGGTGGAAATGATCTCGTGTCAAACATTGTCAATGACACCTTGAGTTTCTTGAAGAGTGGGAAAAAAGTTTCCGGCTTGAGAGACTATGTGTTTGAGGATTTACAGCAGCTTGTTGCGTATACGTTGGTAGAGAAGATAAGTCTCGTTAGGGAGGTCAGGCCATCTCTTTCAACAGTCGAAGCAATGTGGAGGCTGTTGATGTGTGACTTGAATGTTTTGCAAGCATTTGAGGTGGAAGGAGATGGATTTGAGGGCTCTTCAGGTTTCAATCCGAATAAACCGTCGGAATCTGCAGGTGCTGCTGAGTGCAACCCTCCAAAATCCAGCGACTCAGATAACCCGAAGCCCCCATTGTCCAATGCTCAAAGCAAACAGGGTGAGCTAGTCAAATTTGGGAACTTCCCAAGTTTAACCAACTCCAAAAACTCTCATGCTAGTGGAGGAGCAACACCAGGAAAAGAGGTATTTTCTGTTACCACTGCTTCTGGTGAAGCCACTAAAAGTACATCCCTGACTTCTGTTTCTGATGAAAAATTAGTATCTTGTCGAAAAAGCCGAACCAAAAAAGAAATGGCCATGCTCCGGCAGAAATCATGTGTGGAGAAGATTAGAACGTATAGCAAAGGCGGTGGCTATAAGACGGCAAAGTTTGCCTCAGTCGGAGGTTTCCTTGTGGAGAAAAGAGGCAAGTCACCTTCTGATTTGGTGTCTGCACAGGCAAGAAACTCTTCATCAAAGGTAGCAGCAGAGGCTGTGAAAGTTCCTTTAGCCGAGAGTAACGGTACTAAGTCAGATTCGCCTGCGGTAGATGTGAAGAGATGTGTTACTGCCTTACCTGCTATTAATGCTCCAGCACCATTGGCTTCGGAAAAGAAGTCTGAAGAAAAGGCTTCTGTGTCTACAAAGCCAGCACCAGATTATTACGCTGCGATCCCGTATGATGCATCTCTGGGGATATATGTTCCCCGGAACAAAAGAGATGAGTTGGTATTAAAGCTTGTTCCCCGGATGAAAGATCTGCAGAGTGAAGTGCAGGTTTGGACTGACTGGGCCAATCAGAAAGTAAGGCAGGCAACTAGTAGACTTCTTAAGGACCAACCAGAGCTTAAGGCACTACGAAAAGAGAAAGAAGAGGCAGAAGAGTTCAGAAAAGAAAAGCAGTTGTCGGAAGAGACCACTAGGAAAAGGCGGTCTGAAATGGAGTGCGCCTTGAATAATGCGACAAACCAGCTCGAGAAAGCGAATAACACAGCTCGCAGGCTCGAGCTGGAGCAATCTCTGTTAAAGAAAGAGAGGGACGCTGCTAACATAAGAGCTGCCGAGGCCGCTGAGAGCTATATAGAAGCAAAGGAGAGAGTGCAAAGATCGTTGAAGCATACTCAGTCGTGGGAAGGGCAGAAGGTTTTGCTGCAGGAAGAGCTTAAGAGTCAAAGGGAAAAGGTGGCAGAGCTGCAGCAAGAAGTTGCTAAGGCCAAAAATCACCAAAACCGAATTGAGGTTAGCTCCTTTTGTAGACAAAAAAGCCTTTGCACGTTTTAGGTTCGTCTTCTCGTCTTGGGAGCTGTATTATATTTGTATGATCACTAACCATATCCTTTCTCCTCTACAATTCTTTTTTCAGGTAATCATTTCATTCTTTTGCCCAATACATATTTTCGTTGTTTTATCAATGGAATTAGAAGAGAAATTGGAGGGAGAAAACATGTTTACATCGAGAGTTTATTCTATACACTGATTGTACCGTGTTCGTCTTTTGGTTCTTTGCATCAAGAATTTAACGTAGTTGTTTGACAATGTAATCGGTATGAGAAAGATCTGTCGTTTTAAGTGCAGAAGTTATGATTGAGAACTAATGAAACTAAGTTGCAGGCTACTTGGAAACAAGAAAAGGCAGCGAATGGGAAACTTGCTGCACAAGCGGCTGCGTTGAAGAAAGAGAGAGAGAAGCTGGAAGAAGTCGGAAAAGCAGAGGAAGAGCGGATCAAAACAAAAGCAGAGAGCGACGTGAAATACTACATCGAGAACATCACAAGGCTCGAGGGCGAAATCTCAAAGCTGAAACTCAAGTCAGACGGATTGAAGATAGCTGCACTGAAGAAGGGCATAGATGGAAGCAATGACGGTAACAAGACTCATAGCAACACCACAAAGACAAACCCGATGGAAGCAGCAAAAGTGTGGGAGAACAATCACGGGACAGAGGCGAAAATCAAAAGGGAGAGGGAGTGTGTGATGTGTTTGTCTGAAGAGATGAGTGTGATTTTCTTGCCTTGTGCACATCAGGTTCTTTGCTCTAAATGCAACCAGCTTCATGAGAAGGAAGCCATGGAGGATTGTCCGTCTTGTCGGGCCAAAATCCAGAGGAGGATTCAGGCTCGTTTTGCTCGCGGGTAAGAGCTTTTTTCTCCGCTCTGATTTGGAATCATATTATGGCAACGAAGGTTTTGCTATGTTTTTGTTTTTCTCTTTGGACTGCTCTATTTACATCGATGGCATCTAAAAATATACACATCTTGTAAAGAGTGACTTTACATCTGCTCATTTTCTATATACCCATCAATAATAAATGGAAGAAGCTCTGTTGAGTTTCTCTATCTCCATCTCTTTCAACATCGTTATGAAATGATAATAACTCAATTCAGAATCCAAATAAGAAATATTCTGTGAGCTTCTTTTGGAATTCAAGTATCAATTTATTCAATGATTGTCTCAAACTCTAAGATGACCATTGTTGCTTTCAGTTATGACTTATGTGCGTCATTTAAGAGTACTCCTGTGTGTTTAGCCGTAAAGCAAAACGCTTTTATTATTTTATTTTTCTTACTATTATCATTATAAGAGACTATGATGAATACACACAACCATATAAGACGCTTTTATCATCACTACGTGCGGATGAATCAACATTTTTAATAAGTATTTTCCCATTATCAAAATACACAAATGGTTGAATTATATAATGCATAGTTCACTAGTCTCCAGTGCTTATGATTAGCAATAATCTTAGTTTCTAGGTCATGATTGTTGGCAACTGATAATGGATACATACTGATACTAGCTCGTCTTTGTAAGTAGCCATTGAAATAAATGCTTCAACCATGAATGATATACGCAGTTAAAGGATTGTTCTAAGTTTTGAATTTGGTAGACTACTACTCTAGTTCAAGAATTAATCATTTTATATATATTCTTCTGATCATAATAAATAACTGCTACATATATAATCATATTGACAGAATTTTCATCATTGTAAAAATGTAATCAATAGAAGCCCGTATTTTTCTTTTCGTTATAAGTAAGTGTGGGATCAAAAAAATTAAAAAACAGCAGATGGAGTGAAAATGACTAGTCATAGAGCATCACTAACATTCATCTCATTAGCTCTCTATCAACCATCATCATCATCATCACAACATCAACATCAACATCATCATCATCAAAGATCTCTTCAATTTTGTTTTTTTAATTTATAAACTTTCGTGATCAGATCGGTGCAATGTGATCATGACGACTGAGAGAATACAAACACACAAAGCAGGTGTGCATGCAAATTCTATAGTGGTGGGAGTTGGGACCATAGTTGTGTAGACTAATAACATTTTATTCTGTGGCTTTGATCTCTTGGAATTTTCTCTATTGGCTTCCTTATACAAATAGAGAGATCCACTAATGATATTATTCGATGCAATAACATATGATATTTAATCAAACACGAATTTTGTTACCTAAAAATTAATGAATCAAGAATTAAAAAAAAAAAAATTACTTACATGCTACTAGATCTAAACTTATCCAGTCTACGAAGAAAACACAAAATACCCCAAATTTTTATAAATACGACGAAAACACTAATCATGTGCTAATGCTATGATTTAAGTTTATTACGGTTAACTGATTAGCTTGCGGACAAAAAAAAACATACAACTACACAAGTAGCTGACGTGTAACGGACATTGCACACACGTGTCACATGACCACGTCGGCTCTTCTTTCTCCCTAAGCTGCTGATCTGTCTTTCCGAACCTTAGGTTCGGACGGCCGTTTTCCCTGTTACAGATTCCCGACATAAAAATTACATTATTTTTATTTTTTTATCTGACACACACGAATCATAAATGTAAAATGTAAAACCCTTTTCATTATAGCGTTTCTTAGTTTTTCTTCACAGAGTCACCAAAAACCCTTAGAAAACAAAAAGCAGAGGAAAAGCAAGAGGAGGAAGAAGAAGAAGAATAAAGAATATTCAGCTCTTGATTTTGCTTCCTTCTCAAGCCAATTTGATTACCTCTTTTGTCTCTCACTTCTCTTCGAAGGAATCTTACTTTTCTTCTCCCCTTAATTTTCCTTCCTTTTTTAATCATTTGGCGTCACTAGAGTCAAAATCCGCCATTAAATCTCCAGCGGAAGCTCCTACAAGAACCCTCTAATTTACGACCACACCTTCATCTCTTTCTGCCCCGTTTCTCACCATTAAAGCTTGTCGGGTTTGTGTTTTAGAAGTCTCTGTTTTTTACTTAAAGCTGTAACGGCTCTATAACTAACTTGAAGAAGATGAAATCTGCTACTTTGATTTGGGTTTTGTTGCTTCTTCTCCGATTCAGGTTATTCGTGGCCGCGATTATTGATCCGGTTGATTTCTTGGCTCTGCAAGCGATTCGTAAATCGCTCGATGATTCGCCAGGCTCCAATTTCTTCGATTCCTGGGATTTTACCGCCGATCCTTGCAGCTTCGCCGGAGTATACTGCGACGGAGATAAAGTCACTGCTCTTAGCCTTGGCGATCCCAGAGCCGGGTCACCCGGTTTATCAGGTCGGATCGACCCGGCGATCGGAAAACTCTCTGCTCTCACGGAGCTCACAATCGTCCCGGGTCGGATCATGGGTTCATTACCTAAGACAATCTCGCAGTCAAAGAATCTCCGATTTCTCGCAATCAGCCGGAATTTCCTCTCCGGCGAGATTCCGGCGAGTCTCGGTGAGCTTCGGGGACTCAGAACGCTCGATCTGAGCTATAACCAGTTAACCGGGTCAATTCCTCCTTCGGTCGGATCCTTACCGGAGCTCTCCAATTTGATTCTATGCCACAATCACTTGAACGGATCACTTCCTCAGTTCCTCTCCCAAACCCTAACACGAATCGATCTCAAGCGCAACAACCTCACCGGTGCAATTTCTCCGACGTCTCTCCCGCCGTCGCTACAATACCTCTCACTCGCCTGGAACCAGCTTACCGGATCAGTATACCAGGTTTTACTCAGGCTAAACCAGCTGAGCTACCTCGATCTCAGCCTAAACCGGTTCATCGGAGCAATCCCCGGCCAGATCTTTGCTTTCCCGTTCACGAATCTCCAATTACAGCGCAATTTCTTCAACGGCGCGATCAAACCGGCGAATCAAGTGACAATTCCAACTGTCGATTTGAGCTACAACCGATTCTCCGGAGAGATTTCTTCGCTTCTCTCCAACGTACAGAACCTCTATCTAAACAATAACCGGTTCACCGGTCAAGTCCCGGTTAGCTTCGTGGATCGGTTGTTGGCAGCGAATATACAAACACTATACCTTCAGCATAACTTCTTGACGGGAATACAGATTAACCCGGCGGCAGATATTCCGGTGAGCAGCTCGCTGTGTCTGCAATATAACTGTATGGTGCCACCGGTACAGACACCATGTCCGGTTAAAGCCGGTTCGCAGATAACCAGACCCACAACGCAGTGCAACGAGTGGCGAGGGTAAAGACGTAGTTTTACTATAACTTCTGGATTTTCGGGTCAAAGAGTATTTTCTTGGGTTATTTTGTTATAACTTTCGAGTTTCGGGGGTAGGAAAAAAAACTATTCGTTTATTCGTTTGGTGACTGTGTGTGTGACTTTGTGAATGGAAATCATAATGACGAAGTACGTTAAATTTAATTATATCTTATTATATAGATTCCAATGAAACGTGCAACGGTGCAAGGCCAATACTTTTAGTTGTTATAATGTTTGTCTTTTCAATGTTTCAAATTCAGCACACCAATGTGAAAATATACATTGAAAAATGGCATTTAATGAAATTTCTTAAACTAAGACAATGAACAAAAAGATACTAATAATTTATTTTCACTCTTTAATGTGTAATGTCTGAAACCAAACCGTGACAAACATACATATATATATATATTATTACGACATTGCATATCATCAGAATATATATAATGTACTAAAATTGGTTGGAGAAGAGAATGGTTTTTCTTTTTATCACAACACACACACGCGATATCCATTTTTACTTGGATTCACAAGCGTGTTATCTCTTCTTCTCTACATATAACATATCACAACTTACAGAGACCATATATATATGTATGTATGTGTAGAGAGATGGATGCTCAGCTCAGTAGTAGAAATGTCTCCTTCGAACCCTCTTCTTGCTCATGATCGGCGCCTCACCGCTCCCCGGAAATTCCCATTTCACAAGATCTCCGTCCCACGACGAGCTTATAAGCGTCGGATAATGTGGATGCCAGTTACAGTCTCTTACAGGTGAGCTATGGTGCTTTAGCACTGCCACTTTATCTCCACTTACCTAAGAAATCCATTACCATTCCATGTTTGGTCAGATTCAAAAAGAACAAAGCTCTCAAACCATAAAGTGCTACACTTTTCATGTGATGTGTTTCTGTGGAGGAAAAGGCCATTACCAAGTCATATATGTAGACGGAACTGTCATTGGATCCTGTGTAGATGTACTTTTGGCCAGTACTGTCAAAAGAACGAACAAAGAAGCCGAAATCAGAAATAGACTTCTTGTTTGCAAGCTTGGAACATTATGATGGGTTTCAGAAGACTGACCTATGCAGTGGAGAGAAGTAGCAACGGATTAGAGTACGCAACACTGAGTGACCTTTATATGTCGACACTGACTGATCCAATGGGTGCTTCAGGTTTCTTGCCTCCGTAGGGTAATCCATCCATCTGTAGTCCCATTCATAGTTTCTCTGCACCTCATGCCTGTTGAAGAATTACACAACAATCCTAATTTCATCTAACAAGATAACAACCAATAACGCCAACACGCAGTTAAGTGAAGAAGATGCTTACTTTGCAGGTACGCTTGAGGACATTTTTCTGATATCCCACAGTTTGATGGTTTGGTCTTTGCCATTTGATATGAAATAGCGACCATCTCCACGGCTATCGATAAAAGTAACACCTTCGAGGTGTCCCACCAGAACACCAGCTGGCTTATCGATAAAACAACGCCTATCCCACACCTATTTCGTGTCATAAATTTGAACAAGATCCGGTTACAACTTTGCTTATAAAGGGATGAAATATATTGGTACTTTTTGCAACAAGCAAAATAATTACCTTGCAGAGATTATCATCACCTCCAGATAAAATCAGGTTTCCACTCTCATCGGCAAAGCACACAGTATTTACATCAGACTACAGCAATGGAGAATATGTTAATCAGTGTTCAAAGGCAAAGTTCACTGGAGATATTTTGACTCAGCGTTTCCAATTTGCGTGATATCTTTCCGATAAAACTTCTTGTTCTGTAAAATAATAAAAACATGAATGTAGAGCTAAAGCACCAAACAAGAGAGATGATTTTACCGTGTGTGCAACAGTTCGGAGTGAAACTCGATTTGCTTCAAGATCATAAACATAAATGGAATCATCACTGCTCCCAGCAACGAGTTCTCGTCCATCAGTTGAAAATTTGACAGAGAATATTCCAAAAGAGTACCCTCCATCTTCATCAGAAGAGAAGTCTAATCCATCATGGATCTCCTGCAAAAGACAAGGACCTCAAATTGATTAAGCACCGTTAAGAAGTTGCTATAAGGGAGAAGAGAGAAAGAACATGAAGCAGATATCCCATCCCATCCCATTCTGATATTCTGCTCTAGGGAACAAATATTGTGGGTCCGTACCGTAACATTTGCGTGAGACTCAGTTGTCCCAGAACCAACATCGACAATGTGAACAATAGGTGACATGCTTGCATACACCTGCAAATATCAAAAGGGTTCAGTATCACAAAGTTTTGATACCTAACTAGGCAAACCTATTTACTCTGCATCACTATAAAAGATAAAGACGTCAAGATTTGCATTATAAAACCATATGCTAAATCGTTTTCATCAAATATGAACAAGTTAGTTAAAGAATACAAAAACTTGCCAGATTTCGCTGATCAGGGGACAGAGAAGTATCGGTAACAGTCCAACGCAAGCTTTTTGCAAGAATGTCCTTTTGAACTTTCCAGCCTTTCTCTACATTATAAATCCGAATATGGCTTCCCTGAAAGAAAGATTCAACAAGAATAAAAATGTAAAACATGAAGACTGAATACTCCAGAAAACGTTTCTCAACTCAGAAACTAACTAAAGGAAACTATGGTGATGAAGATTTTACCTGAAACCCAGCAATAAAGAGAGATCCATCAGTTGAAAACTGAGAGACATACGCTCGGCTGTTCATTTGATCAACAAGCCAAGGACCCTTCACGGGCAAATATCTGCTAAGCATGTGGCAACAATCGGCGGCGGAAAACCTTCCTCTGCCGGAGAAATTACTTTCTCGACCAGCCAACATCCTCACAGTGGAGACAGGCAACTGATGTCTCCCAGGGACTTCACGGCTATACCGTTGATGAGGACAAGACTTCAACTTAGTGACCTGGCTGATTTCATGGTCTAAATCTGCCGAGTGCTCACTTGATCTGTGGCTACCACTGCTACTACTACCAACTCCACAAAAGTCTTTACCAGCATCGCACAGCTCGGATTCTATCTCAAGTCTACTCATTGCATAACCCATTTCATCAGCATCAAACTCACTCGGTCCAGAAAACATTATAGCAGATAACCACCATCGATTGTCTCTCGCACCATAGTTTCATTCACAGCTCTCTTGGGCCCATGTCTTGCCTGAAACACATTCACCGAAAATACAATCACACTACTAAAACCCTCTTGGGCCACATAACCCAATGATGAAGAACTCAATCAAAGAAAAACAATCAACGATTACGATATTACAGCTTCATCAATCATCAATTTAACAATCAACCCATAGGGGAAAAGAAAGAGAAATTGGAATGCAGAGAAACAGCATCAAACCCTAGTTACTGCAGCATCAAATCAAAAATGAACAAAAGATGAAATCACCAGAGACATCGAAAGAAGCGAGAAACAGCATCACTCCAAAATTGAGAACTTTATTAGGAGAGCTGTGACCCAAAATGGGATCGCGAATTGGTACAGAAATGAAGAAAAAGGTCAGATTTTTAGATGATTACCCGTACGAAGAAGACAATTCGTAACAGTACACCAAAGCTCTCTCTTTTCTGCCCCTTTGAATTTCTCGAAAATCTTAGCGTTTTTTGTTTTGTTTTTCAATAAGTTAAATTTATGAGCGGATATGGTTTTCCGTCTACGTGTGTGTCGATGAAGCGTGCAAAGCTGTGTTGCCACGTTTGACTTTTGTACATAGAGAAGTGAAATCATTAACTATCAAGAACTTAGTAATAAGATGTTTTGTTAATTAGGAACACAAGTACAAATGCTTGCTTATTTGAGAACTACAAGCTAAAAAAAACTCAGTCGAAGTGTGTTTCAGTCTCAATTTTTTTTTGAAAAATAAGACCATTCGCGAGCCGTATACAAGACAGACCAATGAAAGCTCATATTGTAAGAAACAAAAACTAAATCAAATCCAGTGCAGATTGCTAATTGCTAATTTGCAGATCTCGTTTGTTCGATATGTTGGTGTTAGCGCTGTAAAATCCCGTCTGGATATTTTTTGGTGAATAATATGAATTTTCTTTAAAAAAGAAAAAAAAAACAAAAACAAATCCAGTGTAATATATTGAGCTTATATTGAGACAAACATATTGAGCTTATATTACAACATTTGCATCATAAATACTAAATACTAAAGACAAACATATTGAGCTTATATTACACTGCTACAATGTACCTAATTAACATATTTTATACGCCAATGCAACTCTGGAAAATGAGATTGCAACAGATTCAGAATGTCAATGTACAATTAAAAAAAAAAAAATTCTTATAGGTTCAATGTCTGGTTCGTAGCACAAACAAACACATCATGCTACGATAATCTAATGGTAAGAGACTGTCTTGTCCTTGTTCCATGATCACTCTTGCTTACGGTAGGAAAACGTCTTCCCGTTTATGACAAAAAAAAACCATTTACTACAGGATCTTTTGTTACGACTGATTCACAAAGCCTTAGAATTGAATAGTAAATGACGAAATTAACTTGGCACGAGAGTAGAAGAAGAGTTGATTACCTGCATTCATAGGATCATCTTCCACTAAATGTTCTAAACAATTCTCTGTGGGACAATAAGTGAAAGTCAAAGACAATGGACAAGACAAATCCTGCATTGTTTGCGGCAAACCTGTGAAAGCATTTTATATACATAGCCATAATAGTATAACTGTATTTACCCAAAGTTCATTTTTTATCAACCTGTACAGGCAAATATGGTATGGTATGTATATGGCAAAAGAAACGACACAATACTTAAAGATCACTCAGAGCTCACAACATGAACCACGATATATTTCTTCTAGATGATATGACGAGAGTTTTTTTACTGCTTACTACAATCGTATGGTGCACATAACCGTGGTCCTGAAATCGAGCTGGTGATTGAACGGTGGCTTTGCAACATTCGATCTCCAAGTTTTCTTCTTCGGGTCATACACATGAATCATCAAAGATCCAGCATTGCTCTGTTCTCTAGTATGCCTAGTGTCCATCAGATTATATCCATCCACGAGAATCATTACATGTAACTCACCGTTCACTGCAACGAACCCAACTGGTTTGTCGTAAGAAGCTTTCTTCGGCACGCTCGACTCCTTTTGCCAACGATTCGAACTCATCTCATACCTAAGAATCCAGTCTCTATCCAGCATGAAAAACGCAGGCTTCCCACAATCAACAGCGACAATCTTCCCTAGCTTAGCTCTCTCTTCTTCTCCCCACATATCTCCAACCAATCGCCATTTCTCACTCCTCAGCTCCATCACCGCCGCGTCTTTGTAGTACTCATCAACAGGAAGAATCCCAGAGACCGTCCTTGATCCGCCATAGCCACCCATTACCCAAAACTCTCTCTCTTCCTCCTCCTCCTCCTCATTCCCAACCATGAACCCAACACAACCTGCTCTAAACCTAGGCAACTCAGCCACTTCACTCCACTCATCTTTCTCAACATCATACATCTCCACGGAGCTCATTCTACTCCCAGCAGCACCAAACAACGTGTGCCGTGATCCACCTCCCGCCACGATGATCCGATCCGACGAGCCAGGCATCGCGGCGCTAGCGAAGCTGCCACGTGGAGAAAGCATCGGAGAGAGCCGCTCCCACGCCGATTTCACGAAACTGTAACGGAACACGGCGGAAGAAGGCAGCGGGCGGTCGAGAGGATAAGACCTGGCGTCGAAGGCGGATCCACCGAGGACATAGAGATTCGGTCCAAGGGATACGGCGACGAAGTTGCAGAGACCGTAAACGTGAGGGTTACAGGGCATGAGGGGAAGCGATCTCCAGGACAGAGTCACGGGATCGAAGAGGAAAGGAGGCGAAATCGAAGGATCCTGCGGGAAGATGCAGAGGAGGTGGGAGAGGCGGGGATTCTCGCTTCCGTCTCGTCTATGGCGGAGTGAGATTAGGGTTTTGGAGGAGAGGAAAGCGTACCATGATTTACAGGTCGATTTGAGGCGAGAGATGTGAGGGTAAGGGACGAAGGAGAGAATCAGCCTCGCGACGTCGTTGGATAAGCCTGGAATTAAGGTCAAGCTGGGGTCGATTCGAGGCTTGGGCCGAGGAAACGAGGATCGCGACGATGACGATGAAGACGAACACTGCAACCGCGAAGAGAATATCGGCAAAGGCATGATTTGGACCGGCGGGTCAAGAAACTCCGGCGGGATTCGTCACTCTAAATAGAAATGATCGATCAACGAGACATAATCATCATCGCGAAAATAGAAATGATGATAAGACTGATTCTAATTTTGATTCCTCGGCTGAGCAAAAGACAAATCGAAAATTTTAAATTAATTTAAATTTCCTCATCATTTTCACGGGTTATCCACGTGGGCGTTGAATTGTTGGGCCAACATTGGACTTTCATAATTATGTTATAAAGCCCATATTGCTTGACTTCTAATTAAGTTATTTTAAATTATACTAAATTAACTTCTTGGTGTGTAGTTATCAAAAAAAGTATCATAATTGTGACACCCAAACTCGGTCATATAAACCGAACCCGTCTGCGCTAAAAGCCAAACACGTTATCTTCTTTACAAGTTCCAGAAACCGAAAGGCGTCTTGCTAAACAAACAACTCCACACCACCTGCGATACTGAGCATCTTGACTCATCTAACCTGCTAGAAAGGATCGAGAGAGAAGATAGGGAAACTGAAGGGGTGAGTAATTTAGATTACCCAGGAGAATGAACCTACACTATCCTATCAATGCACCACAACTTAACAAACGCTAAGTTCAAACATAAAACAGCACCATAGAAAATCCTAAAGACTTCACACAATAACCTAACGTCACAGGTAACGCCACTGCGAATACCCGGACCACACAATGATGACTTACACCGTGGCACTTGGATTGCATTCTCCGTAAATTTATAGTCGCTACATGACTAGCTCGTCGGCCATGCCTTGAGAGCGCTACGTATAGCCATTACTCCCATACCACATGAGTATACACTGAACCCTTTTGAACAGCCCCATGTGATGTCAGGTCCCTCAGTACCCCCTCGCATATTGCCCACGTGGCTCAGCGACTATCCTCAACTTCAGTGTATCGATTGCAGCCCCAGGCATTGCTAATCTCAACCATCCATCTCGGACCCCAAAACAAAAGTCATCCACTCAAGTGTATCGACCACGGCTCCTTTGCCTTATGATCTCAACTCTCATCTCATACATTTCACAACACATAGTCTCAATTATGATTTCACACAATACCGTATTAAGTTCCTATCCTCTTTACAAATTCTAGACGATCACACAATCACAGAAGAGATCCAAACAGCAATCAAACAAGCAAAGTGTTTCAAGCACAAGTAAAGGTTTCTTTTAAGTCTCCTGCAACTTCAGTTTCAAAACCCTAAACACATCTAGGTGATTCACAGAGCAAACAACAGCCTAATATGACCTCGCTGGGACTCAGTTCTAAAGCAGAAAGTAGTTATGCTTGGTTTAACCCCAAACTATGCATTCAGAGAAGTAGAGTTCACGATATTCAAGCACAGATTCATCCTCACCTTGGCCTAGGTGGCGAAGGAGGTGGCAAGGGAAGGTAAGGAGAAGAGAAGGAGGCGAGGTGCTCTACGGCGGCTAACCACGCCGGGTTGATCGGTCTCCGAGGGTGAAGCTGCGGCGGCGTATGGCTCCGGGAGGACTCCGGCTCCTCATCAACGTGAAACACTGGGGCAGGACGGCTGAAAGGGGCGGCTACGGGTCCATCCCGAAGGTAGTGGACTCGCGGCTGCTCCACCGCGCCGGCGGATGATGATGGCTGCTCCGGGGAGCGGCTAAGGCGGTCACCAGAGGGCGGCGATGATGAACGGCGGGACATGGTGAAGAGAGAGAGGATACGGCGATGAGAGAGAAAGAAAGAAGAGAGAGAGACGGTGGAGAGAGAGTACCACGGCGCCAGAAAAGAGAGAAGAGAGTTCTAGGGTTTCTCTGTTCTCTGGAAAATTTAGAATGAAGAAAAAGAATGGGAAAAGCTCTCTATTTATACCCAATGGGAGACTTGGGTAAAAAAAAAAGATAACCACGAA